CTGCAACTTCAGTGCCGTCTCACTGTACGATGAACAAACCGTGGTCGCCTTGCATTAGAGACTGATTCCAGCTCCAGGGTTGTGCTGTATTCAACGTCTTTGTTCAGGGTTTCTTTAATCAAACAGAAATGTTTGGTGCTGGTCAGTGGAAACATTAATAAACCAGTGTGAGAACCGGTAGAAACAGTAGCTCCAGCAGAGGTCAGTGTGTATGTGACGGTACAATCAGTGTGTGTCGCCCTGCAGGTGCAGACGCTCTCCTCGCTCTGGTTCCTAAACTGATGCTGAAGCTCAGAGAGGAAGAGGAGAAGCAGAGGAGGAGGAGGAGGAGGAGGAGGTGCAGGTGCTGCTCCTCTCCACCCTCAGCTCCTGCTCCAGGCTGGACGCTCTGCCGGCTCTGGCCTCTGACGGCGTCTTGCTGCTGGGCCGCAGACTCTCCCATCGCTCCCCAAACATCCGCAGGGAGGCGGCTGCAGCCATGATGGCGCTCAGGTTGGACAGCGGGGAAGCAAACACTCTGCCCTGTGTTTGTTTGTTTGTTTGTTTGTTTGTTTGTTGTGATCGCTCTCTGTCGGTTCCAGTGTTGGTGAGGACGGGAAGCGGCAGGTGTGCGAGGAGGCGTTACTTCCTGTCCTGGTCGGCCTGCTGCAGGACGAAGACGTCGAGGTTCAGGCCAACGCTGCAGGAGTCATCATGCACGCTGTGATCATCACGGCAGGTACAAACAAACTAAACAACAAACAAACAACACGCAGCCGACCTGGAAGTGTCTCTCCTCCCTCATTGGCCAGCAGGAACTCTGGTTTGTTTCTGACTAATTAAGATTTTTCAGTCAGTTTGATGAACGGCTCAAAACACTACAATACCCATGAGCCTCAGTTTCTGTCACCGTGGTTACTGAATTGATCCCAAAATGATCCAGAATCAGAGACTGAACTGATTTAAACGGCAGAATGTTTTTATTAATTGTGTTTTTTATCTTCAGTGGAGCAGAGAGTGAAGCTCTGTGATTGGATGGTTGTTAGTGAATTGCATCCTGGGAGTCGTAGTTCAGTTTTTATGTCCACAGGCTTCTTGTGGTTTTGATTCTCTGTGAAATAAACAGATATTTTCTAACACAGTTGTTCATCTTTCGCTCTGATCGTCCAACAGGAGAGTTTCAGTCCTTAAACGCACCATGTGACTCATCCTGACCAATCAGAGAACAGAGCTGAACCTCCTTCTCCCGCAGGTAAACATCAGTGTCTGGATCTGGACGCGATCCCCATCCTCCTCCACCTGGTGTCTAAGAGTAAAGAGGAGGAGGAGGAGCGGGATAAGGAGAGGAGGATGAGGAGGAAGGCCCTCATCATGTACTCCCTGCGGGCTCTGACCGCGCTGGCCGAAGCTCCAGACGGCCGCAGCCTCCTGCTGGAGCAGCTCCCCGTGCTGGTGGCGAGGAGCGAGGACGCAGAGGAGGACCAGGACGTCCGGCGGGCCGCTCAGACCGCCGTCAGGGTCATCACCTGGACTCCATGAGACGCAGATGACCTCTGACCTCTAGAGCAGACCTGCTGGGTTCGCCTCAGCTGATAAGATAGTAAATAAAATAATGAATGATATTATTAATGAACTTTTATTTATTATTGATGACACTGATTGAGATAAAATGGGTCTTGGATTGTGAGGTCGGGTTGCTGAGGTTCTTCAGGTGGTCCAGTTGACATTTCTGACTGAGAAATGCTACGTGCTAAGCTAATCTATGTTGAAAAGATAACCACATTTTGAAGATGGTTAAAAGATAAAAACTACCCTCGCAGTTAACCTCCCTTACCACAGAAAATGAAGGCCTGGGATTTGAACCCGGGACCTTCTTGCTGTGAGGATAACCACTGAGACTCTGTGCCTCCCCAATTCTTTCATTCCACATTAAGTTAGGAGGGAGGAGCCATGGGGGTCTTGGGTGGAGTTGTTGAGCAGCTGCCTTTGTTATGTGAAGTGAAAAAGACCTCACCATGACAAGAGAGGACTGTCCCAGGAGGTGGTGTTGGGCAGGACCAGGTCTGGTTGGATAATCAAACACCTATTACAATCTAAGAAGATTGAATCAAACAGTGTTTTATTCATCTGAGTCTGCGACGTTATCAGATACGTAGTAAATTACTTTCCACTGTTGGATTTTTGTGTTCTCTTTGTCGTCGGTATCAAACCTCACACATCAGACAGGTCGAGGTCTCTCTGTTGGTCCTGAATAGTTTCCTCTCTGACCTGCTGATCTGAATGCAGCTGCTCTTCACTCGAATTAAGGCCATCAGCTCAGATCACAAACATCCAGATGAATGAACCCAGCTCCTTTATTTCAGCCTGACACTGAGCTCTTATCGCTGGCCGACGCTCCGGGCGGGAAGCCGAGGCGAGGGGTAATATTTTATATCTTTTAATATTAGCGCTGATAAAACTCCTGAGTTTCAAAAGGAAAACGTTACTGTAGGAATATAAAACCGTTGTTCAATGTTACAATAAGTTTGTCTAACTAGACGATGATTTACATCAGGAACTGATCACAGAATAAATCAACAATCTGAACCAATAACTGACATTAACTGTTGAGAGATAATTATAATTAGTAGTATTTGAATTAAAAACTGTTTAATTGAGTCTCATTATGGTCGTTTTATATATGATTATTATTATCAATGTCTTTTTTGAGTTAATGTTGGAGAAGAAGAAAATCTCTCTGACTGTTTTTTGGCCTTTGGAGGAGATAGAACTTAACTTTGAATGAATTTTAATTAAAATCAGTCCTTTTAAAATGTCCAAAAGAAGAAAACATTGATTACAATTACGAGACAGAGAAACAACTCAGGTCTTCAGCATCAGACAGACACACTGTCTCCGGTCTGTACAGGATGTTAATCCAGTCCCAACATTTAGAGTCCCAATGGGAACCAGATCCTCGAGGTCTCACTTACCTCTGCAGAATGGGAAGGAATGTGGACCCTGCAGTAATACCAAAGTCAGTCAGAGTTACACAATTAAAAATTCTCCACAGAGCGTATTTCACTCCCTTCCTCTGAGCTCTGCTGGCAGGTTGTCAACAAGCAGGAACTTTGACCCCTGTGCTGTGGCATTGTCCTGCAGTCAGGTCCGACAGAAGTGTTTCACTCAATCTCAGTGATGATTAATATGAATCTCCCTCCTGGTCCGGTTGTTGGCTTGCTGGGATACACGGCTGCACAGTTACGGTACAAATAAAGACTAACAGCAGTAGGACGCTTTTCAAGAGAAACATCAATCTCAACCTTCTCGCTATGGAACGGAGAGCTGAGAGGATCAGTGATACTTACTCAAATGAATTAGGATAAAGTTTTCTGTGTGTGTTTGCAGTTAATAGAGTATAGTATAGAGAATAGTTCAGTTAATAGAGTATAGTAGAGAATAGTGCAGTTAATAGAGTATAGTATAGAGAATAGTTCAGTTAATAGAGTATAGTAGAGAATAGTGCAGTTAATAGAGTATAGTATAGAGAATAGTTCAGTTAATAGAGTATAGTAGAGTTAGGTTAATAGTATAGAGAAAAAAAAGAAATAAATAGAGAATTAAAATAAAAATAAAAAAAAAAAAAAGTAGAGAATAGTGCAGTTAATAGAGTATAGTATAGAGAATAGTTAATAGAGACTAACACTGTGCAGCCGTTTGGAAACATGCTCTGAAATGTTCCATCATGAACACACTGAATGAAATGATTTGTATGTTCTGTTTGATGCAAAAACTGCAAATTTTAAAGAAAAGTTACAGGATGCTTTAATTAATTTTATTAATATTTACAGATTTCAAAAAAACTATAAAATAAACAAGACCCTTTAAACATTTGTTTTATGGTGTTTAATTACCTGGGAAGCATTTTGACTTTTTTTTTCAACAAAAGTTGACATATAGAATATTATAGAAACATTACAGCCTATACACACACACACACACACACACACTGCCATGTTGCACTGTCATGTTTTTACTCCCCCCACTGCTGCAAATGGACTGGTCCAGAGAGAGAGAGAGAGGTAGAGAGACATAGACAGGTAATGGGCAGCAACAGCAGAGAGAGAGAGAGAGAGAGAGAGAGAGAGGCACACTGCCGCTATCACACACACACACACACACACACACACACACACACACACACTGGGACTATATTATTTGGGAGTGCGCGCAGTGAGAGACAGTTGATGACGGAGCTGCTGGATGTTTCGGACACTAACAGGTAAGATCCACCTGCGTCTGTGTGTGTGTGTGTGTGTGTGTGTGTGTGTGTGTGAGCACTAATATCAGCTTTAATTATCGGCATTAATTACAGAAATATTACAGCCTGGATATCCGGATCAGTTAAATAACACACGCTTCATATGGGGGATTATTATGGGATTATTATGGGATGGGAATATTCTAGAGCTGTGTGCTCGATGTTCGGATGTCCATCAAAAACTGCAGAGTGAAGTTTGGGTTGAAATATTCTCCCTGATCCTCACAGCGGAGATAAAGCGGGTGTATTCAGCGGGACTTCGGCCCCGGCTTTACCCGGCGGTGCTCGACCTTGTCCGGGGGGGAGCCGGCGCGGTGAGACGCCGAGCTGCGGTGCGCCTGCAGCGGGGCAGAGGCGGTCCCTCCCCCGCCTGCAGGCGTCTCACTCTCCCCGGGTTGAAAACAGACGTTGTGTGCGTGCTGATATCCGGTTATCATAGGATTCTGTGATGGTGTGAAGTTATGTAAGAGGCTGCTGGAGAGTGAGCACGCCGCGGAGGAGAGGAGGGATGGAGGATGGAGGATGGATTAAGAAGGAGAGGATGGTTTTATGTAACACCCCCCCACCCCCCACCCCCCTTCATCATCCAGCATCACAACATCTGCCGGCCTCCACTCTCAAATCCTCCCCATCAAATAGTCCCAAAATATCTCTGAATGTTCCTCTCACCATACAGTGTAATGCCTGTTATATGTAATATAATGTCTAATATAATATCTGTCTGTCTGTCTATCTGTCTGTCTATCTGTCTGTCTGTCTGTCTATCTATCTGTCTATCTGTCTATCTATCTGTCTGTCTGTCTGTCTATCTGTCTGTCTATCTGTCTGTCTGTCTGTCTATCTGTCTGTCTATCTATCTGTCTGTCTGTCTATCTATATTATTATTTGTTATCAGTTATAAAGTTATAAAGTTATAAAGTATGTGCAGAATGATGTCATTAACGGGTCATAAAGATGCTGGTTTATTCAAATTAATGCCACAAATGTCATTTAGCAGTTAGCATCTGATCTGCTTCCAGCATTCCTGCTTTTATTTATTTATTTATTTATTTATTTATAAATGATTAAAAATGTAAAAGTTATTATTAACTTCTTCTATTAGGCTCTTGAGTTTTGTCCATTCAACAGCTACCGGACGGATTGTGATGAAATTAGAGCTGATGCTAACATGCTAACACTGTAAACACCATCATCGACTCGTTAGCATCGTCATGGTGAGCCGGCGTTAGCATTTAGCTCTTAGCACTGCTAGCCTCCGTAAACCCTCAGTGTCGTCTCACAGGAGAGCGAGGTTGCTGTGTTTTGACCCATCGGGGCTGCCGTAGAGATGCTGTGTTTTATGTGAACTCAGTGGGGATGTGGGAGTGAGGCGTCGCCATGGAAACACAACAGACTCTCTGCTCATGGATGTGATATTCAGTTTTAAAAATATAAACTTTTTGGAACTTCATACTTACTGTTCAGAGCTCACCTGGTCCTGGATCTCTAGGTCAGAGGTCAAAGGTCGCGGCGGTGAGAATATGAGGGATGTAAACAGAACATACTGTAACAGACTCCGTCCTATTGAACCCACTGTAGCTGTGAATAATGGGTCGTCAACTCCTGTGGGAGCTAGAAAGAGCTGTGTGAGTGTGTGTGTGTGTGTGTGTGTGTGTGTGAGTGTGTGTGTGTGTGTGTGTGTGTGTGTGTGTGTGTGTGTGTGTGTGTGTGTGTGTGTGTGTGTGTGAGTGTGTGTGTGTGTGTGTGTGTGTCTGACTCAGGATACCTTCAGGGACACATTTCAGACTAAAGACTATTGGGGACAAACTCTGTGTCCCCAATTTAAAAAAAGATGATTGGTCAGTGGTTAAGGTTAGAGTAAGACTCGAGGAAGTGAATGTAAGTCTATATAAATATTTATACACAGTATTTATTTGTATTTACATATATAAATATATATATAAAGTGACCTTTTAGACACACTGTGCTGCAGTTAAACCGCTTTATATCCAGGATTTAATTTACCAACCTTACAAGAAATAATAATAATAATATATCGTAATATTGTCGGTATAATAATAAAAGACTTCCAGATGAAATGAAAAGTAACATTTTAACATTTTAGTCCATTAGCATGATATCAATTGGACATGTTAGCTGTAGCTTCAGTTTATTTCTATTATATATATACATTATATTATATTGTCTATTCAGCTTTAAATTGATCTCATAGTAGATTTTCTAAAGAATTCTGATGATTTTAGGCTTTTTGTTTCGCAATAAAACTTCAGGAGAAAGTGAAAGGTACAAAAATATTTGTGATTTTTGTGTAATTCATAAAAAATCTGAGCCAATTGTTCCATTGAGAGTAAAATCACAGTTTCTGGAGTCTTTCGAAGAACCTTTAGTCACAACTCAAAACAAGGAAGTAAAGTTTGGTGACGTTTTGTGAAGGAAACTACAACGATTGGTCAAATCTGACAAAATTACAGAATTTACAGTTTATTAGTTGAATTAGTTGGTTTAAAATGTCTCTTTCTATCCTTTAAGTGTGTAAATATTATCAGCAAAATTAACTTTGAGTATAAAAGTACAAGTTTTCATTACAATTTGCAGGCAACATAATTCACTGTCTAATTCTATATTTATTTTATAGGATCATTATACGTCTTTAAATCCCGACCTGCAGACTAACCGCAGCTGTCAGAGAAATGTAGTGGATTTAAAATGTAAAGTATAAAGTAGCATAGAATTACACTGAACTCACTCAGGATTCAAACCAGCAACCTGCCAACAGAAGCACTGAGCTCCTGCTTTCTATTTGTGCTGCAGTAGAGTCTCAGTGGAGCAAAGTTTCTATTGTGTAACACGAGTGAAGATGACTCATGTGTCCAGAAATAGAGGACAGCGCCCACGCAGCGCTGAGGCGTTCAGGGACCGTACGAACACACAAACTGTGGAGGTTCTCAAACAGATTTTATCCATCGCTGCACCCAAAAAAACAGAGAGGTGACTTCTGCTTAAAGATTATTTTGATCCATAATAGATCTGTGAAAACCTCCTCGTGTGTTTCCTGATATCAACTCGACCGACAGCTCAAAGAAAGAGCGAACAGACGAACAGAGCAGGAAGACCGTTTGATTTTAAAGTTAGGACCAATAGAAACACTGTTGGAGGAAATATTCAGATCCTTTAACTAAACACACAGTTTGTACTTTCTGTCATCAGGATGAAAAGGTGAAGTTTGATGAGGTGGTGAAGCAGCGTGGGATCATGGGAGTTGTTGTCTCTCAGGTTATGATATTACACTAACAGACTCAGGCTAAAGCTAACAGGCTGCAAGTTATGATACCATGCTAATAGACAGATGTATTTAATGAGGAATTGTTACAGATTATAGATTTAATGTCTGAACTCCATCAAAGATCTTCTATAAGGTGGGGGGAGCTCCTCTTCCTTCCTCTTCGTCTCCCCCCCAGGCTGGAGGACCTGTGGAGGGTCTGCTGCAGGATCAGATCAGACTCGTGTTGTGATGTTTCTTTACTGTGTGTTGAATCCTGCAGCAGACGGAGGCCTCGGCTCTTATCTCTGAGAGCAGCAGGGGGCCGAGGGGGGGTTGTTGATGCTGCAGGAATGAGGCCATGGGCTCAGCCAGCGGTGGTGGTGGTGTATGGCGGGGGGGGTTAAACTGTTGCACTGTGTTGTTTTGGCTGCAGGCGTTCAGCTCTGTCAGTTGATTCTCCTCTGCAGGAATTTTAAGTTGAGCGTTTTGCTGATATGACAGATGGACGAGCTTTATTCAGCACAACACCTTCCTCTCTGCTCTAATGTCGGCCCCCCAGTCTCACCCCCACGCTGACAGACCCCTCAGAAACATCCATGTAACAGCTGATCACACAGCGCCGTGCACAGTGTCCAGGTTGAACGACGTGTTTCTGCCTGAAGCAAGGAAGTACGTAGTAAGTCAGAGGCGTTAGCCAATCAGCAGCGACGTCTATGTGAACCAGCTCACTTAATTTGTCCACTTTTTAAAAAAAGCAAATCATGGCGACACAGTTCACAGCGAGAAGAGCAAATTTACTGCTGTTTCTAAATCACGTCATAAGTTCTTGAACAGGTAAAGCAGCCATTTAAAGAGACATACACAGACCAACAGACTGCTCTGCACTGTGTCTTCTGACCCCTTTCTATCAGAACCAGCATTAACTGTTTCAGCAGTTGAACCACAGTAGCTCGTCTGTTGGATCAGACCACACGGGCCAGCCTTCACTCCCCACATGCATCAATGAGCCTCGGCCCCCCATGACCCTGTCTCTGGTTCTGTTCCTTCCTTGGACCACTTTTGATAGGTACTGACCTCTGCAGACCGGGAACCCCCCCACAAGAACTGCAGGTGACAGGAGCCCTGATAACCAGATAATCAGTGTTATTCACTGTCAGTGTGTTAGTGCTGATCTGTGTATGTTTCATAGTGTTTTAGTTTAGTTTAAATATATAATAACAAAATGACAATATGTTAATTTACATGTCTAGTGTAAAATAACATGGAAAACATGTAACTGTAAATAATCATAAAAATACTGCTCACTTAAAGATTTAAATACACTTTGCAAATCTCTAATTGTTTGCGGATATTTACTGTTTATTATATTATATTATATTAGACTTGATGGAGGGTGTCAGGAGCTTCAGCTAGCAGTTAGCAGTTTGCTTCTCATCAAAATCAGTGTTTCAACACTGGAGCTGTCGTCATGACAACAGCTGGACCGTGTGATGAAACGACAGGTGGGAGGAGAGGAAAGAAGGAACGAAGTGATGAGAAAGGATGCAAGAAAGGGAAGAGATGAGGTGGGAAAGGAGGAGACATAAAAGGAGGAAGGCAAAGAAATGAAGGAGCGTATAAGGAGGAATGGAAAGGAAAGAAAATACATGATGACGGAGGTAATATGGAAGGAAGAAGTGTGTTAGGAAGGAAAAGAAGA